GTGTTATCGCTTTTGTCTAAACTTCTACACCGATGTGACTTACTTGAAATTTCAAATTATGAATAACGCAAAATCAAAATCTCCAAACGCATGGTGCATCAACCAGATTATCTGTGGTTTTAAATTGAAAATATTTCCGTGTTTCGTCATGTTTGACCAAGAACTAAACTAGTGCTCAAAAGAAAGTATACAGTGTGTTTGACCAAACTTGAAAAGAAAAGAAATTTAAGCATAATATAAATGAACATCTGTTTAATTTCAATAAAGTATTCAATTCTAAAGCAAATGTTCACAATTTCATTTCATACAAAGCCGAAACTACGGTTTGACTGACAGTGAGAGACACGTAGTGTCACTTTCTGAACTTTTACACAAATCAACACAGGCGGGTTTTTCTGGACAATGTCATCAAATGTTGAATCAATAGTGAGTGTGACCACCATTGGCTTAAATACACGCCCAAACTCGTCAACGCATTGATGACGTGAGACGACGAATGACGTTAGGCGTGATCCGTCGCCGTTCCTGTAGGAGACATTGTTCCGGTTGTTGAGCGGTGACAGTAGGCGCAAGTACTCTTCTGATATGTCTATCCAGGTAGTCCTATAAGTGTTCTATCGGATTCATGTCAGGAGAACATGCCGGTCACGGCAAACAACGATGTTAGCGTTATGCAGAAAGTGGTTTGTCCGTCTTGCTGTATGAGGCCTTGCGGTATCGTGTTGGTAGACAATGTCACATGGTTGTTGCTGGATAAATGGCAACACAAGTGGTCGCAAACCGTCATCCCTGTATCTTCGAGCATTCAGGTTGTCAGGAATAATCACAAGTCTCGTACTGAGATCGCCGTAAGTCCCTCCCCACAGCATCACACTATCGGGTCCAAATGGTAGGACTTGCTGAACGCAATTCGGAGCTAAACGTTCACCTACTCCTCTGTAAACACGAGCTCGGCCATCATTACTGTACAGGCAAAACCTACTGTCGTTGGTGAGACAGTGAATGAGTTTAGTTTTACGCCGCACTCAGCAATATTCCAGCTATATGGCAGCGGTCTGTAAATAATCGAGTCTGGACCAAACAATCCAGTGATCAACAGCATGAGCATCGATCTACGCAATTGGGATATCATGGCATGTGTCAACCAAGTCAGCGAGCCTGACCACCCGATCCCGTTAGTCGCCTTTTACGACAAGCATGGGTTACTGAAGATTCTAATATTCTAACCCGGATCTTCACGGGTCTCTCGTCAGTGAACATCACACATCGCCAATCACGCATCTGCCAACGTCGAACTCGCCTGGCCCATGCCAATCGACGACCGGCTTTGAAGAGTCAGATGCACTCCTCGGTAAGGTCGGCGCGCTCGAATACCACTGTACACTCGAATACCACTGTATGTCGACTGATACGGTGTCTTAGTGCCGTCGGGGCCGTGGGGTAGCCTAGTGGTTAAAGCGTTGGCTCATCACGCCGAAGACCCGGGTTCGAATCCCCACATGGGTACAATGTGTGAAGCCCATTTCTGGTGTCCCCCGCCGTGATGTTGCCTGGAATATTGCTAAAAGCGGCGTAAAACCAAACTCACTCAGTCAGTCAGTCCTAGTGCCGTCGCTGCCGCTGACGTCAATGTTACAAATACAATTCTCCTATTAATTGTCCGTATGTGGCGTTGACACACCAGTTCTAGGACTGTCTGACGTATTGCCTGTTTGTCTTAGTCGTTGCATCAGTGTGATGACAGTTGCTCGGGTGCAGTCGGAGGTTCTGGCAATAACGGTGTGGTTAGCTCCTTGTTGGACCATTCCGACAGCTCTCTCTCTCTTCAGATTTGCCTCAAACGTGGCATATGTTTTGTGTTCTTTTTACTTTTGTGTTGCTCACGTGTCGCATAGGCTGTTCTATACCGTCAGTATGCACGTGCATTCCGTGTTACATCAGAAAAAGTCGTTTTGGATTTTTTTAGACGTTTAGACGATTCGTTAACTTGTTTCGCCGTTTGTCCCCGGAAAGAATGGGTCTGTACGTGTGTGACATATCACTGCATTTATATTTTTGTGAAGTTTTAAGTGATAGTTTGCGGTGTATGGTTTCTTTTGAGCACTAGTTTACATACGCCTGTGATTTTGCCTGTTCTCAAAAGGCCACGAACTTGTATTAAAGAGCTCTTCCTGTCTGGATGGGATACCAGTGGGACTGATCTGGGGACAGTATGATATGTAGCTGACACGGTAACATGTTAACTGAACATTCCCTAAATAATACACGAGATACATTTGTGCGAGACCCCCTGTCACTGTGTTATAGTTTCAATATGTGGCATGATATAGCGAAAAGGGCTACACTTTAAACTTGGACAACTTGATGAGGTCATATCCGCATTCGGTTAAGCTGTCCATGAGTAACTGGTTGCGACCAACTCAACAACACATGTTTATATATATAACCGTGCTTGCTTGCTGGTATTCCCCATTCTATGTGTCATACTTGTATAAATTTAATGTACAATAATTATTACTTCGCGTTAACCTACATCTACTCATAAATACAGAACATTATCTAAGTCAAATTCATGGAGTTAAGTAAATGCATAAAATTGAATTTTTAAGATGATTTATATAACTTTCTTAGTTGGTTTGAAATATAAGAAACTGAGTGTATGTTGTTAGCGTGTGCACGATGGCAGCAGAATCATGGCGTCTTTATGCAGTGGAGTCTGAATGAGGCAAACCCATACTAGTTCATGTTATTTGGATACAATCGCCTTGTGACGAACATTGGGTACTGAGGACCAGGTCTACCCCAGAATCGCAATGTAGTGACTGAAATATATATGTATGAAATGACTGTGGAATATACACATTTGTTTAACGGATGTGTGTAATTTGTACATAAATGAACGAGGTACTGATGAGTATTAAAAAAAATGGATGAGTGCAAATTGTCATGAAACTTAAAACTGTCTTTGGATATCAACCATTAATCCGACTGTGATCCGATTTTGCAAAATGTAACACTGTAACACACATCATTCACTTGTTAGTATACACTGTAACACACACCAGTCATCCGTTAGTATACACTGTAACACACATCAGTCATCCGTTAGTATACACTGTAACACACACCAGTCATCCGTTAGTACACACTGTAACACACACCAGTCATCCGTTAGTATACACTGTAACACACACCAGTCATCCGTTAGTATACACTGTAACACACACCAGTCATCCGTTAGTATACACTGTAACACCACCCGTCAGTATAGTCATAACACACACCAGTCACCCGTTATACACTGTAACACACACCAGTCATCCGTTAGTATACACTGTAACACACACCAGTCATCCGTTAGTATACACTGTAACACACCACACCAGTCATCCGTTAGTATACACTGTAACACACATCAGTCATCCGTTAGTATACACTGTAGTATACACTGTATCACACACCAGTCACCCGTTAGTATACACTGTAACACACATCAGTCATCCGTTAGTATACACTGTAACACACACCAGTCATCCGTTAGTATACACTGTAACACACATCAGTCATCCGTTAGTACACACTGTAACACACACCAGTCACCCGTTAGTATACACTGTAACACACATCATTCATCCGTTAGTATACACTGTATCACACACCAGTCATCCGTTAGTATACACTGTATCACACACCAGTCATCCGTTAGTATACACTGTAACACACACCAGTCATCCGTTAGTATACACTGTAACACACACCAGTCACCCGTTAGTATACACTGTAACACACACCAGTCATCCGTTAGTATACACTGTAACACACACCAGTCATCCGTTAGTATACACTGTAACACACACCAGTCATCCGTTAGTATACACTGTATCACACACCAGTCACCCGTTAGTATACACTGTAACACACACCAGTCATCCGTTAGTATACACTGTAACACACACCAGTCATCCGTTACACTGTAACACACACCAGTCACCCACACTGTAACACACACCAGTCACCCGTTAGTAGACACTGTAACACACACCAGTCATCCGTTAGTATACACTGTATCACACACCAGTCATCCGTTAGTATACACTGTATCACACACCAGTCATCCGTTAGTAGACACTGTAACACACACCAGTCACCCGTTACTACACACTGTAACACACACCAGCCATCCGTTAGTATACACTGTAACACACATCATTCATCCGTTAGTATACACTGTATCACACACCAGTCAGTCCCGTTAGTATACACTGTAACACACACCACCAGTCATCCGTTAGTATACACTGTAACACACACCAGTCATCCGTTAGTATACACTGTAACACACACCAGTCATCCGTTAGTATACACTGTATCACACACCAGTCATCCGTTAGTATACACTGTAACACACACCAGTCACCCGTTAGTACACACTGTAACACACACCAGTCATCCGTTAGTATACACTGTATCACACACCAGTCACCCGTTAGTACACACTGTAACACACACCAGTCACCCGTTAGTATACACTGTAACACACACCAGTCATCCGTTAGTATACACTGTAACACACACCAGTCACCCGTTAGTATACACTGTAACACACACCAGTCATCCGTTAGTATACACTGTAACACACACCAGTCATCCGTTAGTATACACTGTATCACACACCAGTCACCCGTTAGTATACACTGTAACACACACCAGTCACCCGTTAGTACACACTATAACACACACCAGTCATCCGTTAGTATACACTGTAACACACACCAGTCACCCGTTAGTATACACTGTAACACACACCAGTCACCCGTTAGTATACACTGTAACACACACCAGTCACCCGTTAGTATACACTGTAACACACACCAGTCATCCGTTAGTATACACTGTAACACACACCAGTCACCCGTTAGTACACACTGTAACACACACCAGTCCTTGGCTGTAAGTTAACTACAATACGTGCCATATTTGATATTACAGCTTGCCCTTACCCGATTCTGTTTTATCTGAAGATATTTGTCTCTGAAGAAGAGGCGCCCGTTCATCCTCCATGTTGAAAGACACAAAGATCGAAACTACCCAAGTTGTGTAATGTCATTCCTGACAAACAGCATCATTGTTTCGGCCACAATTAGCACTGTCACAGGTTATCCATCTGAACTTGTCAACCCACGTGACAGATAAAGGCATCTCGAGACAGATAGTGGAAGGACCTTGTGACGTGCGTGTGACAGCAGCGGGGATCCGAGGTTGAACAGGACCTCGGTACGCGCGTGTGTGTGCTCACCATTTACACGTTACTGCCAATGGGGTTTCAGATAAAAAGAGTCCAAAGTACGTAATGATTCCTACTCCTATTAATGACGCGGTTATGGTAGAATGGAGATAAACATACTATGTTGGAAAATCAGAGGTACAGTACAACCAGAAATTATTGACAATTTAAAGATTGTAAGTTTCTTTTTTTTCACTTATTACTCACGTATTAAATGTGAATATTAGCAGAACATAACTCCAGATTCAAAGACAGGTGAACAGTTAGTATTTTGTCAAGTCACCATGGGCAGCAATGCAGGCTTCAATGCGGCGGGGCATACTACTGATCAAAGAACTTAGAAAGTCGCGGTCCATGCTGTCCCAATATCGGACCACCTCTTCTTTCATTTCAGCAATATTTGTCAGATTTTTCTTATTGACACTTTCCTTCATAAGTCCCCAAACATTTTCTATTGGATTTAGGTCAGGGCTATAGCTTGGCCAATCTAATAATGTCATATTTTAGGTCCGAAACCAGGCCTGTGAATGCTTTGAACGATGTTTTGGGTCGTTGTCCTGCTGGAAAATCCAAAAATTTCCATAGAACACATGAGCAGATGGAAGTAAATGTGCCTCGAGAATATCTGTGTACCGCTCACTGTTCATATTCCCTTCAAATACACAGAGGGGCGTTGCCCCTAACACAGATATGCCACCCCACACATTAAATTTCGGACTTTACTTTGGGCGCTGATACAAAGGTTTTTCAGACTGTTTGGTCCAGAATTCAGTGTATTAGGAAACAGCCACACAGAACTTTCATCATTGTCCCAGTTAAAATTTCTATGCTGTAAGCACCAGTTCAACCTTCGCTCCTTTTGTTCAGGTTTCATGATCGGTGATGGAATTCCACGAAATTATAATAGGTCTATTTTAAAAAAATTAAAAACCCGTCACCACTCGAATGTCTCCCAACAGGAAGGCCTTTGTCCAGCTGATAACTAACCTTTGCGTTCATATGCAACCGTTGGTTCGTCTCGATTACTCTACACATATAATCACGTTATATATCTCTGATTTTCCAACACAGTATGTATTTTTTTTTTTTAGAATGGCGATAAACTTACTGTGTTGGAAAATCAGAGGTATAAAACGAAACTCTAATAGCTCTAAATTTGATTTAAAACCAGAGACCATTATATGAAACCAAACGCTTAGTACCGTTCGTTTTAAATCAAATTTAGAGCTATTTTATGTCACTTGCCTAACGAGACGCCATATGTGCTACATGTGCTTCGTTTCAGGCAGAGATCAAACTGCATGAACACGGTCAAAGTGTGTGAAGTAATTGTCGTCATTCCGGGCTGGAAATAACCCTCAATTTCACACGAGTGTCTCCCAACAGGAAGACAAACTAACCTTTGCGTTCATATGCAACGGCTGGTTCGTTTGACGAAGTCCTGCACAGGGTGAAGGATTACATTCCTTTGCCACGCCAGAATGTGCTGAATATGGGTTCGAATTCTCGTGAACTAAGATGGAACATACCTGGAACCTTGACTTTCCAGCACTGTGTGTGTGTGTGCGCGTGTCCTTTTTGTCCTGAACATTTATTAAATGACCACTGAAAACGGGCGAAAATGAAGTGTGCAACCCCACCCCACCCCCTTTCTCAAGGGTGTGCATCCACCTTTCTCAAAAAGCTGTATCCGCCCTTGCGTGCCAGGTGGTTCCTTAACGTGATCAACCTCACCGACATGTCTCGTGTTGGATTTTTCCTGTAGCCCTCCACGCCACGGGCCGTTAAAGACAAAGAGCACTGCTGCTGAATCACAGACACGATGTACAGGTCACTGCCATACAGCTGCAGAATCACAGACACTGTGTACAGGTCACTGCCATACAGCTGCTGAATCACAGACACAGTGTACAGGTCACTGCCATACAGCTGCTGAATCACAGACACAGTGTACAGGTCACCGCCATACAGCTGCTGAATCACAGACACTGTGTACAGGTCACTGCCATACAGCTGCTGAATCACAGACACTGTGTACAGGTCACCGCCATACAGCTGCTGAATCACAGACACAGTGTACAGGTCACCGCCATACAGCTGCTGAATCACAGACACAGTGTACAGGTCACTGCCATACAGCTACAGAATCACAGACACAGTGCACAGGACACCGCCATACAGCTGCTGAAGCACAGACACGATGTACAGGTCGCCAGGTCGCCACAGGTCACCGCCATACAGCTGCAGAATCACAGACACGGTGTACAGGTCACTGCCATACAGCTACAGAATCACAGACACAGTGCACAGGACACCGCCATACAGCTGCTGAATCACAGACACGGTGTACAGGTCACCGCCATACAGCTGCTGAATCACAGACACAGTGTACAGGTCACCGCCATACAGCTGCTGAAGCACAGACACGATGTACAGGTCGCCACCATACAGCTGCTGAATCACAGACACAGTGTACAGGTCACTGCCATACAGCTGCAGAATCACAGACACAGTGCACAGGACACCGCCATACAGCTGCTGAAGCACAGACACGATGTACAGGTCGCCACCATACAGCTGCTGAAGCACAGACACGATGTACAGGTCACCGCCATACAGCTGCTGAAGCGCAGACACGATGTACAGGTCGCCGCCATACAGCTACAGAATCACAGACACTGTGTACAGGTCACCACCATACAGCTGCTGAATCACTGACACAGTGCACAGGTCACCGCCATACACCTGCAGAATCACAGACACAGTGGACAGGTCACCGCCGTACTGCTGCCGTGCATTGTGTGGGTATCAGACGTTCACCACTTGGCAAAACAAACGAGCTTGTATATACATTGTACTCACAAAACGTAATCAAGATTAATCAGGAATTCGAGCTCACGATCACAATCACGCCTAACGGTCACATAGCAAAATACTGCGCCTTGTACAACTGGACCGTCTGTGGTCCAACTATTTGTACAACAACGGATGGTATATAGGTATAAAATAGGATTAGATACAGATAAGTCTGTGGGAAACCACACAAACCTCCATGTTGTGTAAATACCATATTCGGTATATAAATATACTCCCTTTAATATATTGTGAATCTACAGAGATCAGTGGTCGCCTGAACAGTTGGTCTGAGAGAAATCATGTCCTACACAAGAGCCGTGTGTGCGTGCGTGCGTGCGTGCGTGCGTGCGTGCGTGCGTGCGTGCGAGATACGCACTGATTAACCGTATTGACTTATCAGGTTCTTTGTTAACGTTCCACACATAACGAAAATAGAGAGACTGAACAAACAAGGGGGTGAGACTATTTATTCAAAGATATATATATATGAAACTAAAGTGAAGTCAATGCTGTTTGGCATGAGGAATGTAGATGACAATAATATAAAGCTGCCCACAGTGACACGTTCATGGAAGAAGTATGATTTACACAGATTTTTCAGTAGTATCAAAACCTGGCAGTTCTAAAAAAGCATATTCGAACCAAGTATTAAGTGGGTTCTGGCGCAACCAAGGCAAGCAACTCTGCATATATCCAATTGAGAGACACAGATACCCACCACAACTTGAAATTAAAACGACCTTACTGATCCACCATGCTCGATAGGAAAAGCCAAATCCGTTTTCAGAAAGACTTTTTCTCTCTTTATTACAAGTATTAGGAACTTAATAACTTAACACAATATGGCACATTTAAATCTCTCTCTCTCTCTCTCTCTCTCTCTCTCTCTCTCTCTCTCTCTCTCTCTCTCTCTCTCTCTCAGCACTATAAAATCAAGATTTCGCCACCTTTCTTCTTTTCATGATTTTTATGCCATCCCAGGATTTCCCATCTTCTCTCTGACGAAAAATGATCTGCGCAGGAAATAGGAAATTTAGTCCCCAAAAGTCTCCGAAAACGCTTCGAAAGTTTTCATTGACGGGCCGAGTGCACTTGACATCCACCTTTTTAGCGATTTCATAAAGCGTAACACCTTGAGAAACAATTATCATTTGACTTACGAAATAAATGGACGCAATACAACCCATTGGAACTAATAGATGGGAATGGTAGATGAGCAGAAAGGTCTGAAGGTCAATATTACCAAAGAGCATTCTGTAAAACGTCACAGGAAGAAAGAAGTCAGAGACACAGGAAGTAGGTACAAATACGTCGTACAAATACTTTCCTGTAAAATAACCTGCCAAAAGGCCTATAATGGTTGAGTAGAACGCAAGGATTATAAAATAACGCTGGTTTTTAAACCCAATACAGGTCCCCACCATGAAACAGTGGTGGTCTCGTTTGATAATACACTTCTTGCAGTAGTCACAGTGGTGGGCCCGTGGCGGAATGTTCATTTGGCACGTAATACAATACACCCAGGACGACCAGTCATCCGTTTGGGAACTGTTGGGTATATTGCCATTTTTGTCCTGATTTGCGATTCTTCCTACAAAATGATCCGGGTTGTTCTCGCACACTGCCTCCACGTTGTATTCGGGACGATCTTTTGTCCTTCGAAACGACGTGTCGTACAACATGACGCAGAGCCAGTTGACCACGGCGTTAATGCAGAGGTAACAGACGCCCACCTTGATGTAATACTGGGTCCAGGGGTCATAATCTTGAAATATGTGGGGGACGAGGTACTTGAGAGATACGTAAAGTTGAGTTATGGCTTGAAAAGCAAACATTGCTCGGGTCAGGTATTTCACTTTGTCATCTTTAGGGTGTCCTTTGGCAAAATGGCGTCGTACCCTCTCCTTGAAGCTGAGTGTCCTGTTTGAGTCTGTTTCTATGGTAACTCGATGTGACGCCTGCATTACGTGAGGCATTTGGACTATTCGTCTGTGGGAGAAATGAAAAATGGAGAATATTTTAATTCTTTTGCATATAAAACAGTGAACGAAAAAGTAAAAGGACTGAATCCTGAATCCTGAACTATTAATGGAGAGTCAATCATCTTAGACAGATAGCGTTAATACAGCACATGTAATAACAAGTGTAATGAACACTAATACATCTCGGATACATCTGCAGATCTGTGTTTGTTGGGTGTTTAACACCACACTTAGCAACACCTCTGCTCTAAATGACGGCGATCTGTGAATGATGTAGACTGGACACATTCTCTTCCCACAGAGGTTACTTGACATATCTTCCTACGAACCTCTGTTCTAATACGACCATATTTCCTGGTTCTCGTAAAATCCCCTATCGGCCAAAAATCGCAACACGAATTATCTCCCTTCTTTCTATCCAATCAGAATACGTGTTACATCGACTTAGCTCCAACCTGACTAATACAAGCAAATGTGGGGCCACAAATATAAAAAATTGAGACGCCATCGATCCGCCATTACATGACTGAGTTCTGTCTAGAAGAAACGTTTGCGCATCGCACAGGTGAAGAGGTTCGAGTTTTCCCGAAGCATACGAAATTACCGAGGCCTTGCGAATGATCACTTTTGAAACAACGTCGCTGATTGCACAACTAAATCAGATTGCAACCAATCACGAATCCTGAATACTCACACCATAAAAGGGCCGTATTAGAACAGAGGTTCGTAGGAAGATATGACAAGTAACCTCTGTGGGAAGAGAATGGACTGGACAAGGCAATCCAGTGATTAACATCATGAGAGTTGATCCACGCAATATGTACCGATACGATAACATGCATCAACAAGGTCCGTGACTATGATCACACGACCCATCCGTAGTCGCTCCTAATACAAGAATGGGTTGCTTAAGACGAATCGTAGTAGGTTACACGTCATATCACTGCAGATTCAGTTACGCCACATCAGACTCCGAGTGATATCGACAGCTTTCTATCGGATGCCACAGACATAAAGGATGAATAGTACAGGTGTGCATAATGTTTTGTTGAGATTCATGTTAATGTCGTCGTGGGAATGAGAAAGTTTAGTTTGTCTGACACCGCTGAAAAACACCCATAGCCACTGGGGTACGAAGACACATCAATCAGTGAGTGAGCGAATATGGTTTTACGCCGCTTTTAGCAATATTCAAGCAATATCACGGCAGGGACACCAGAAATGGGCTGCACACATTGCACCCATGTGGGTACACATCAACCCATGAAGTCACCGAGTCTGGTTATCCGATCCACTTGATCGCCTCCTAAGACAAAGATAGTTTGCTGGGGGGTGGGCGAGGGTGCATGGTGGGGTGAATGACCAAACACAAATACTAACCCAACTTGTGAGTGAGTATGGTTTTACGCAGCTTTTAGCAATATTCCAGCTATATTACGGCGGGGGATACCAAAAATGGGCTTCACATATTTTTCCATGTGGGGAATCGAACCCGAGTCTTCGGCGTGACCACTAGGCTACCCTACCACCCAACTAAGCAACTGAGTACAAAATGAAGTACAAATTTGGGGGCCATGACCAATCGTAAAAGGAGCCCTCCCTCACTTTCTTCTTGTACCTTTGACAGATCAGCTATGAGAATATCTCACTTGCGCTTTACAAGGACCCCTAAAGGTTCAGGTTAGGATCTATCTTACGCTATACAAGGACCCCTAAAGGTTCAGGTTAGGATCTATCTTACGCTTTACAAGGACCCCTAAAGTTTCAGGTTAAGATCTATCTTACGCTTTACAAGGACCCCTAAAGTTTCAGGTTAGGATCTATCTTACGCTTTACAAGGACCCCTAGAGTTTCAGGTTAGGATCTATCTTACGCTTTACAAGGACCCCTAAAGTTTCAGGTTAGGATCTATCTTACGCTTTACAAGGACCACTAGAGTTTCAGGTTAGGATCTATCTTACGCTTTACAAGGACCCCTAAAGGTTCAGGTTAGGATCTATCTTGCGCTTTACAAGGACCCCTAAAGGTTCAGGTTAGGATCTATCTTACGCTTTACAAGGACCCCTAAAGTTTCAGGTTAGGATCTATCTTACGCTTTACAAGGACCCCTAAAGTTTCAGGTTAGGATCTATCTTACGCTTTACAAGGACCCCTAAAGAGTTTCAGGTTAGGATCTATCTTACGCTTTACAAGGACCCCTAAAGGTTCAGGTTAGGATCTATCTTACGCTTTACAAGGACCCCTAAAGGTTCAGGTTAGGATCTATCTTGCGCTTGACAAGGACCCCTAAAGGTTCAGGTTAGGATCTATCTTCAGCAACCGATGTTTGTTGTAAGAGGCGACCGTCGGGATCGCTGACTTGCTGGATTCATGCCATCGTATCCCAATTCCGCAGATCTATGTGCATGACGTCAATCACTGGACTGTCTGATCGAAACTTGATTATTTACAGACCGTCACCAAATAGCTGGAACATTGCTCAGTGCCTCGTAAAACAACAAACAAACCACACGCAAATAAATATCGGAACCTATTAAAATCCATCTTTCAACATTCACATACAGTGACTTATTATTAGTGGTGATGCATTTATCGAAAAAATATACATCGGATGTGTCATTCGAGTGAAAAATCTGTTTTATCACATGATGGGCAGATTTCTCAGTAGAATATAGAGAATGGATGAAAGACGGTAGCCACGGGGTCATTTACGGATCAATATGCAAATATGAAAGGTCGGGCAGGTGATCACAAACAAACATGGCGTCGCCCTTATGGTAGCCGATCGATTGGAAATTGACTGTCGTGGATCTGGACACATTGCTGGGGACATTGTTATGTGAATAACAAAAAGGATTTATGATATCGAAAATCTTAGACTATTAGGCCCTCACAAGTGTACGCAATTTGTGGGCATAAATTGTTAAGCAATGTCGGCGAGACTGCTATAAAGTGGGATCAGTGGCCAGGCCTGCAAGCGCGAACGAAGCCATTTTTTGTGTGTTAGCCCGTGAGGTTGTAAAACTAATATATTTAGATAGTATTTCATGGTGATCTTTAGCAAAATCATGTGTAAGCCCGGGCTTTATTTGATAATGGTAGCTACGTCCCTGGGCTGTACTTGTATACTTCGCTTGGGCGTTATCCCCCAAATTTAACAGTTGGCGTTGGCCGAGATGTTTCAACTTTCTGTCGTATTGTCACTGCGTGACACATCAAACTGAAGGTAATATCGTCATGACAGACCAAGCCTATTATACACTCATTGTTTATACTCATATATACACTGTTATGATTTCTACCCAAAACACTATCGCATGATCGCCCAAAGCTCGCTTCTACAGGAGATATCACTGCAATGGAATTACATCACAATGCATTGCATACGTTTGTGACGTCACTGATGACAACACTAATCCTTCAGCTGCTGACGTTGGTTAACTGTAATGTGAACTGTTTGAAAGGAATGGACCGTACATTTACTGTTAACTTATAACGATATTACACGTAGATCGTAGTAACTAACAAACTATCTGCATATGCATTACCAATAATGACATAAATTATATATACCCTGCAGGGTAATATGTTGTTGTACTCAAAGGTAAACAGAATCTCTCGTAATTATCTCACTTGTTTTATTACGTTAAAATTTTATAAACATGCAACTGTTAAGGACCGTTCATAATTTATGGCTAGGGGGATGATGATGATTGTTATGGAGAAACATGTACAATTTGAATCCCCTCCCCCCATTTTCTCCCCATTCCCATAATTTCTAAGTGTATTTTTGTAATATTTTTATGTACAAAATTTCTGACCCCCTAGTACATGTGTACAAAATTGATTATAACTACTCATATTTTAACATCGGTTATCTGCCATCAAACAGCCCAAGTCGCAGAGTACGTTCAGGGGAATTAACTCTTGTAGCCCTCGCACCGACGCTCAAACAGGGAAATATGTCTTCAGTATAGCGGTATCCTAAGATACATTTCGCGATCTTAGCAACAGACATTTCGTCAATGATGTATTAATCTTTAATCGGAATTTGTATTATGTTTTGAAAATGAGATAAGTGAATGAAATAAGAAACGCCCGATTCCACACAAAATTTAGAACTGGTCCACCATTAACGATTCGGCGATCGATCCAACAATGAACATGCGACCCGTGATTACAAGAAACGCATTAATTCTTACCTGCACCAGGGGATATTTCGTTAGATTTTAGTCCTGTGTCACAGCAGACAACACCACGGTGCTCCCGATATCGTGCATTGCCTGTTTAGTCTTGCACGGGAACGTTGGTTGTTGTGGTGTTGCCCCTGACAACCTCCCATTGATGTGAGCCAGTGCGTGTCAGAGTTCACAGGGTTACGCGTTGTAGCCGATTCATTGATAGAAACAGAATAGCAAGGTTGACTGTATTTCAAATCTACACACAGGCCTATTAAATTAGAAGGTTCCGTACGAGTTTACTAAGGTGGTGGCGATAACTACGAAACCATAGCAACCAGAGACCATCTTGATGTGGGATACTGAAAGCCTAGTAGATGCAGACCCAGGAGTATTCCCAAGCTGGAAAAGCTGGGCTATTTAGGCACCGAAGACTGGAAGCATTTTATTCTCCGAGATTCATATTCACAAAGTACACACTATACAAAGAACACAAGCAATTTGGTGACCCCCCACATGCTCATTTTACACTTCTATTCTATAATTCAAGATTACATTACATAATAACACTGTTTCTTAAATAGTTTAAGAAAGTTCAGACAACCTGTCCATGGAAGATCTCATTACGTTGACCCTAAGCAACCTCTCATCACTAATTTTAAGATAATGATGCATGGGGTTTTGCGATAAAAAAATCAGTTTCCTAATGATTAGGTTAGTGAGCTAAAATTGGACCTACACAAATATATCTGTATTTCAACCAGCAAAGGTAATTGGTCACCAAAATACTGCAAATCAAAAAGTGATGACTAATAGACACATAGGGAGCATACCTCAAATAAAGGTTATTAGAAGACTGCCCTTTGGGATTTCAATCCAAGTCACCAGCAACCTATCCACACACCACTGGGTATTCATACATGCCCTAAATTGTAGCAAACACGTACTTGTTTATCCCCTTCATGCTGAACATCAGGTAACAAGAAGTACTGTAGTGTAGCATTCTTTGGTAACGATGTAGCTAGGCATTAACCCTCAACCTTTAGCTTTCCTTGGTAACGATGTAGCTAGGCATCAACCCTCAACCTTTAGCTTTCTTTTGTAATGATGTAGCTAGGCATAAACCTCCGACCTTTAGCTTTCTTTTGTAATGATGTGGCTAGGCATCAACCCCCAACCTTTAGCTTTCTTTGGTAACGATGTAGCTAGGCATCAACCCTCAACCTTTAGCTTTCTTTTGTAATGATGTAGCTAGGCATCAACCCCCAACCTTTAGCTTTCTTTGGTAACGATGTAGCTAGGCATCAACCCCCAACCTTTAGCTTTCTTTGGTAACGATGTAGCTAGGCATCAACCCCCAACCTTTAGCATTCTTTGGTAATGATGTAGCTAGGCATAAACCCTCAACCTTTAGCTTTCTTTTGTAATGATGTAGCTAGGCATAAACCCCCAACCTTTAGCTTTCGTTGGTAATGATGTAGCTAGGCATCAACCCTCAACCTTTAGATTTCGTTGGTAATGGTGTAGCTAGGCATCAACCCTCAACCTTTAGCATTCATTGGTAATGATATGGCTGCATGGGCATCAACCCCCAACGTTCTGCTCCCTGGACAAATGCCCTACCACTAGATCAGAGTCGGTCCATCTGAGCAAGAGCTTGTGCTACAGTCATGAGTGAGTGAGTGTGTCAGTAAGGTGTTTTGCTTTAGCAATATTCCTGAAATATAACAGTGGGGTACATGTTTGGACTTCACACATTCAATGACTTGAAAGGTTGAACATCTATCAATATATGGTCTCTGGTTGAACTGAGCAAAATAGCTTGGTCTGAAAAACACAACAAAACAAAAGCAAACACAGCAATAAGTTTACTCTCAATGGTTTTATGATTCTCAACAAATAACCGATGTTACTTTCATCAACATAAAATCATATGAAAAAGATAGCTTTGAATATCCAGGCAATATATTGAAATTGGTCACTGAATGTAGTTTGTTTCCACATGACATCATAACATTTCACATAAACCATGAACACAAGGTGAATATGACACCCAATAACATTTCTGCAAGCTGGAAGTCAAACCCAGGCCATTTTCAGTGACAAGCAATCACAACTTTATGCCTAAACCAGACTTCCCTTAAATATACACTACCCAACACCAAGATTTCCACATACTATGTGAGTGTACAAAATGTATATAGCACAAGCTTGATTCTCTGTACATAATCATCAACCATCTGTGACCATTCGTGTTATTCCAGGACACCATTCCAGAACAAGCCAGTAAGGGACTCATGACCCTCTAGACAGGTAGCAACAGTTTTTTATGTAAAAGCAAATGGGCATAGCAGAATTTGAACTTCAGTGAATAGTTTCTCAACAGCATATCCTGAAAGCAAGTGGGATTTTATTAACATTTAGTTTGAGTCAAAGCCGCACTAACAAATGTTTCTGAACTAAAGAGATATCTACTCATAGTCATGTTATTTCAAAGTTTTGTATAAAATTATACACATCATTAAGAATGGACCCAGTTTTCATGCTGGGAAGGGAAGTTGACAAATGGACTTATTCAGGTTTGTAAGCAGGCTTGACAGTTTCCAGCAGTCACAGAAACCAGGATAATCAGGGTCGGATGACTGAGGATGCTACTGTCAACATGTGTATGTAGAGTAGATGATTGGTCCTTTACAACATTTCCTGTATCCCGGAAACACTTGGGTGTTAGTACCTCCTTCTCAACAATAACCAAGTTAATTCTATGGAACTATTATTCCCTAAGTGATAAAGTACAAAGTGATCGAACACAGATATATAACACAGCATGTGTTAAAATTATACCCTGGTTCATTCTTTAATCTTCTCCCAAGTGTATCTTCAGTTCCGGCAAATATCAAGCATTATGTAATATTATGCACTCTCACTCCAGCACACTCAGACTTCTGGGAGTTCTGAGCTCTGCAAACCCCATGGGAGTGTGCAGTCCACATGTTAAGGCCCTTTGCAGATGAACATGTGTATAACAAGAAATGAGTCACTCTGTGCACACACATCACTCTTTGTGGAAAGAGCAAGATGATTCAGTAAACTTAGATGTTTTGTAAAAGTAACAAAAATGAATAACTGTGCATGTGTAGATTGTTTAACAAGCTACGTAACAAATGTCAAGGTAATAAAATATTCTAATATAGTTTTTAGTGTAATTAACACTCGTAAAAAACAGACTCAAATACTAACAAAACTAGACAATAGTATGCCTTGAGGGTGAGACATTTAAAAAATCAACATTGTTGTAATATAAAATTATTTATCATATAATTGGTACGTTTCTGGATATGTTTGGGTCATATACAGATATATCTATAGCCAAACAGATAGTCAGGTAGGAACTACTTGCAATGTTTACTTGTACACAAACTTGGCACTGCACTCGTCTAACAATGATCAAGTCAGAACTGCCTATCGGAATCTCGATATATCACTGGTATAATTCTCTCACTGGGACGTAGATGAACTATTTTTACAAGGCTGGAAAACTGGAGATATCATTTAAAATACTATATCAAGGACACAAGGCAGGGAGTTTTAGTTTTAATCTCACTCAATACAAAATATTTCCTAAAATAGGATATTTACCATAACTGTAAAAAGGCAAAAAGAGTATCTGTTGGGGTCATATAGTATGCAAGTTACCTGACAAGAGAAATATTTTCAGTGAACATTTTTCCCTTCAGATCAAATCAATTTAAGAGACATCATTTATAAAATTCAACATCAAATTAAAAAGTAAACTATTTCAAAATGAACACTTCCACTCATCATCATTCGAGTTCCCAGTGTTTCATCCTAACTCATCAATGCATCACTTGTACAAGACTTTGGTCGGCATTTACAATTTGGAAGAACATGAGACATGAAACCTGTAAGGAAACAACTTCTTTATTATTTGCAACAATGTTCCAGGCAGGCTGCTTCCGATCCCTTCATCAGATGTGCATGTACCACAGACAGACATAAACCTTGCACTTGCAAAGTCAAGTAATGCTCTTCTTCCAACTATTTTTTCAGTAGCACAAAATATTTCATATTAACACTTTTACTAGGGTTCATAAAAAGGAAATTAATATACCGCAATTTCAAACTGACTTTACTATCTTACTGGATGATTCGACCATAATTTTACAAAATAATAAAGTGTAACTGAAAATATCCTTTTTTTTAACATGTTTGTTATCAACTGAGTCTGAAATCAACTGACAACTTATTTTATTTTAAGATGACTTATGGCACATTTACATAATTTTGCAGTAAACTATCACCAAGTTATAGCGCTCTGTGTTGGAATGTTGAAAAGAAACTTTCAAACATTTTCTCACATGAAGACTATTCATTCAAATATCTAGTGTCAAAAGATTTAAATTACTTTTGATTGGGATTGTCAGATGTGTCATTTTATTTAACTATACACTAGACACATTATGAGAATTTTTGAGTATCATGGAAAACTGGAGAAGGCTCTCCTCAGCAGCACCTGTACCAAGTCCAGAATCCTGGCTAACAATGTTATACATCTCAATAACAGCTGGAATCACAGGAACAATAGATGGGTTATTATCAAACCAGTTACACAATGTCTGGACATTCTATTATGAAATACAGATCATGCCGTAGATATATCACATCATAGCTTCTACTGAGACAACACTTCATTGGAACACAATGTAAGACACCCTACACAACAAATATACTCTACACAACTTTACATAGGGATATTAGATACTTGATTCTGCTAAATATTATGAGAATCATTTTTGTGCATTATGAAGGATAAAAGTATCCATATGAAATACATATATAGGAGTATAACTGAGCAATGGATAGCTTTAAGGATGTCTGCATGAAGGATGTTTTAGCGACTGCATAACTCCCTGTGAATTGAGTCACTTAATGACACATGTATTATCAATTTATTGCCAAAAAGTCATGATGCTGAGGATCAAAGTCACAAAGTGTAATCATGAACACTACTGCATCATTTAACAAAGCAAAGATTGAAATATTCCCAACAATCAACAAAAGTGTCCTCCATGTTTAGTTTGTTGTATGATGTCCTACCACACTGTAACATC